CTGTGTATCACAGGGGCCCCCTGGGAAAAAGCTAAAAAAAAAAAAAAAAAGAAAGAAAAAGAAAAGAAGTTTATTTCAAAAGCAGGTGACATGGTGGTAATGCCACAGTTCAAGTCCCAGACCTGGTGGCTTGAAAATCATGCCAGGTACACGTGTGTGTGCCCCCAAAGACCCAAAAAGAGATTGGAGAAGGGATTATGGCATGACCATCCCCCTGGAGAGGGGTGATTTCTCACTTTCTCTCTCTTTCTGGGGAGCACACATGCCCTATGGCAAAAATCTTAATTTAAAAAAAAAAAGTTTTTTTTTCTTCCATGAATAAGGGAGACAGAGACAGAGAGAAAGAGAGACAGAGAGACAAGGAGACAGAGACAGGCAGTTCCCACCCCAGCCTTAAGACAGACCCGAGTACACAGGGAGACCTTGGGTCGCGAACCCAGAACTCCCGGTGGCCTCCTGGAGCACTGCTGTACCACGGGGCCATTGAAGCTCCTGATTTTCTTCACATGGAACATGAAAGGCTGAGACGAGGCCAGCTTCTCAAACCTTGGGCCACAGAGAACAGCTCTTCATTACGTTTCCTCCCAAACTGCACCATCGAGCTGCCTTTCGCTGCTCACCGTGGTGGTGGGTTTGGAAGTACGGATGGGATTCTGATTCTGTTATCTTTGAGATGCTGGAAAACCCTGGAGTCCCTGGGCCACCTTTGGTGACACACGACTGGCATCTCCAGAGCTCTCCGGCCTCCTCTAGGCCCGAAGCATGATGCAGGGGCTCTCGGGCCCTGGGATTTCACTGTTGAAAGAGACTTTCGAGAGGCCCCAGACCAGCCCTTGCATCTGACAAACAAGGAGACTGAGTCCAGAGAGATGAAGGGCCATGCCCAAGGCTCCCGGGCCCCACCTGGAGTTGGGGTGGCACTGAGAGGGCTTCCAGGTCTGTACTCCCCATGTCCAGGGTCTTCCCCATGGGCCATGTCCTCGCCATTCTTTGACTTTCTTAATTCTCTCCAACTGTGGAGACGCCCCCCTCTCAGCCTGCCTGCCTTCTCTGACTCTCCTCCCCTCACCTGAGCAACAGGTATTGCCAGAAGAGCTAAGAGCTGCTCTGGCTCTGGTCACCTTCCTGGGTCCCCAAAGCACCCAGCAGCCCCGGGGAGCCGATGCCAGCCGAGCAACAGCCTGCCGCCCGCCAGGCCCAGCTAAGAGCTGCTCTGGCTCTGGTCACCTTCCTGGGTCCCCAAAGCACCCAGCAGCCCCGGGGAGCCGATGCCAGCCCTGCCTAGTGACCTCTGTCCTGCAGCAGCCCACGCTCTGGCACGGCACCGAGGCATGTGGGGCCCTATCTCTTCGGAGTGTGGGGGAGTGGCAGACACACAGTCACCAAGCGGATGCCAGCAAGGCCCGCGGCAGGCTCCCAGAGCCGGGAACAGCCAACGCTAAGACGGCAGCCAGTTCTCAGGGCTGAGTTGGGTCTGGGGAGCTCACTACACGCCACTTCCAATAGTCCCTGTCAGCTCAAGGGCCTGGGCTTGGCATCTAACCCCTGCCTCCGTGGAAACTGAGATTAAATCGCAAACACACAGTCAGCAGTGCAACAGATGTAATACCTGACAAGGGCTCTTTCCTCTGTGCAGAGAAAAGGAATGAATTTGGGAGCCGGGATGCAACTGGCAATGAGCAGGTGGACAGGTTTGCTATAACCACTTATTCAGTCCGTCAGGAAAGACTTCTCGGAAGAAATGGGATCGCAAGATCGTTAAGAATAATGTGTTATCTGGGACCAGCAGATGGCGTAATGGCTATGACACTGGATTCCCATGTAATTGACCATGGTTCGAGTCCCGGACCTGGTGGCTTAAACTCACACTGGGCGCGTGTGCGTGCATGCCCAAGATCCCGAGAGGAGAATGGAGGAGAAGGGATTTCTGCATGGCCATTCTCCCTGGGGGGTGATTTCTCACTTTCTGTCTCTCTGTCTCTCTCTGCCTTTCTGGAGAGCGCACACGCCTTACAACAAAAACCTCTAAAAAAAAGGTAAATAATGTGCTATCTTAGCCTTCCTGGAAATAAAATGCTTTTATTTAAGCCTGGGTGCATCTGATTCAAAAAAATTTCAAAAATCCCCCAGTAGGGAATTGCAGGTAAATTTGCAGCCACGAGGGGTGGTGGCATTCTCGTTGTCCCTGGAATTCTGCTTTCATTGACAGATCCAGCTCTGCTTCCAAACCCCGGCAGCCTGCCCTGACCAACTTCAGAGGCAGCAGATGGGCTCGGATGGGCCGTGGTGAAAGGCAGCGGCACTTCCAGCCTGACCGAGGCCTATCCTCACGCCGAGAACAGCCGCAGCGAAGGACTGTACCAACAGGGGCCAAAAGCACCCCCTGAAAGGGGCCTCCCCTTCCCACCACAAACCTGTCTCCCCCTAACAGGCAGAAAACAATATGTAAAGTGACACTCAGGTGGCAGCCGCTCGGGGAAACAGGAGGGAGAACGTGGCAGCTGGCCAGGTGGCCCTGCTGTTCCCGTGCGATGCCGACGGCGAGGTGCTGGAACCGTGAGTGGGTGAGAGCGTGACCCCTCACCAGATCCCAGATCCCAGCAGGGGCACGGCCCGAGGCCCACGCTCCACACTCCTTGCCTCCGTGTCCGCTGGCATAGTTCAGGAACTGAGGACCAGGAGCGAGCTTTTAAGAGACCTCTGTGACAACTGGGCTTGCCAAGGGGTGGGGGTCCCACTGTTATTCTCAGTTTCAGATAACGAGATCCAGGCACAGAGAGGTTTCGTCAGAGCTGCTACGTCAGACCACCCCGAGGGAGTGACAGGAGCAGAGTCCCCCCATGTGACTGTGATGGGGCCAAATTCTGACAAGCACTGGGGGAGAGGGTGGGTGAAGGCACGTGTGCAGCAGAGGGCCACGTGACTGAGAGGAAAGGGAAGAGCCCCAGAAATGACACTGGTAACAGTCTTGCACGTGCTGTTCTGCGGCCAGCAACAAGCTCAAAGCACACAAGTCTTTCCGCCAGGGTCTGCAGATCGCTACGATTCTGGGGGCCTGTAGGGGACGGCTAACCCTGCGCCCCAAAACATGGCAGCTCCCAGACCTCCTGGCTCTCACACTGCCAGGTCTCCCTGGCTTCTAAGGGGATGGGAAGGCTTTTAGTTCAGGCACAAGAAAAACCTCTGGAGCAGAAGGGATGGATCTGGCTGGTCAAAAAACACCCCCTCCAGCTCCCTGAGTGATGAAGAGGCTCGGGGTTCAGAAACTTCACAACTGGCCGTCAGTGCCAGGAACCTGGGCAATCTGGTGTAACAGCTGAAACTGGATATTTTTTTTTTGCGGGGGGGGGGTGATTTTTGCAATAGGGCAGGTGCCCTATAGCAGAGACAGAGACAGAGACAGAAAGCAAGAAACCACTCCCCAGGGGGAAGGGCCACAATGTTCTCCCTTTTCCTCCCTTCTCCTCTCAGGACTCTGGGCACACACACACACGTACCCAGAGTGAGTTTCAAGCCGCCGAGTCTGAGACTCGAACAGCAGTCAGCCACATGGGAGCCCAGCACCTCAGTTAGCACACCACTTGCTGGCCCCTGAGGTGGGAATTTTTGCAGAACAAGAAGATGAAGAGGGTGTGATTAGAGGTAGGCGTGTCCTTCCTAGAGGGTCAGGCTGGAGCAGCCTGGGGAGCAGAGAAGCTGGGTCCCCGCTGTCAGAGGGGAAGCCAGAGTACCCCAGGGGCCACCATAGGTCACTCTCCTTCCCAGGACCACTCTTTCTGTATGTTCTAGGGTCGCCACTGCATGGCTCAGCCATAGTGACATGGGTACCAGGGTGCCCCTGTATAATGCGACATGTGGGAAGGCCTGGCTTTAGTCCCCGTGACTCTGGCTAGCTGATGGGGGACCGTGGTGTGGTAGGACCCTGTCAGGGGTCTCTCTTTTTCTTAACCCCCCTCTCTTATGAAAGAAAGAAGGAAACCTAAAGAAAAATATATTGTAGTTTCCACCTCCCTCTCAGGTTTCCAGACTGGCCAAGGAAGAGACAAATACAGACCACCTTCTTCCTCATCTAGCGGCCCAATCCACACAAGAGCACCTGATTGAGAGGAATCAGGCTCTGTCATTTTGCCAAGTGACTTAACCCTTAACCCTGTCTAGATCTTGTTACTCTGTTAAAAAAAAAAAAAAAAACGGGGTAAAATGATAATAAAAAAATAAATCTTGTTTTAGATTTTGTTTCTCTGTTAAAAAAAAAAAAAAAACGTGGTAAAATGATAATAAAATAATAAATCTTCCCTGCGAGGGTGAGGATCGAGTGAAATGAAAAATGAATGGGTGATAACTGCAGCTGTTGGCACCATGGACTGGGTTGTCGGAAGAGTCATGATGCATTTTGGCATAGAAAAACATAAAATGAAAATCCAAAACATCAGGACGTCTTTGACAAACCAATATTACAAGAGTTTTTTTTTTAGCTTCCAACTTTTTCTTTCATGTTCACATGTCTTCCATGAGGTGTGAGACTTAATGATCTCACGTCAAGACCACTTGCGCGTTATCATGGACCGATTCACTTCAGGGTTGTTGAAAAACTCTGCAGGGCTCTGGCACCACCCGCCCTCTCAGCTCAACCATTCCCATGATGCTGATGGCTCTGGGCCTTTCCAAGAGTGAGACCATTCAGAGACCAGAAACAGGCACTTCAAGGCTGAGGTCAGAGCTCACAGGCCTATAAAGGCTTCTTCACAGAATCTGTGTGTGACTTGAGAACCAACAGATGGGATAATGGTTATGCTTCTAGACTCCCAATGAAGTTGACTGTGGTTCAAATCCTGGACCTGGCAGCTTAAAACTCATGCCAGGCATATGTGTGTGTGTACTCAAGATCCTGAGAGGAGAATGGAGGAGAAGGGATTGCAGCATGGCTATCCCCTCTGGGGAGGTGATTTCTCACTTTCTGTCTCTCTGTTTTTCTCTGTCTTGCACTCACCCTATAGCAAAAATCTCTCCAAAAAAAAGAGAATCTGTGTGAAGCCAAAGGTCAGCTCTGCCGCAAAGGCAGCCCAGCCCACGCCAGGTTGTCTTGAGCTTCTGGGGAAGCCTGCTCTGCCCTGGGTTCCAGCAGAAGCTTCTCGCTCTGCTCAGTGGGTGTGGGCTGCATCTGGAGTCCTGGGGACCCCTTTGGGCAGAGCAAGATGCAGGGCCCGAGTCCTGCCCTTCCACCCCGGGGGAGGGGCCTCACTCACCACCCAGGGCTTGTCACAGAAGTTGTAGATGGATTCCAGGGAGTTGATGCTGGGCAGGCCTGCGTACTGCATGCCGATGACCAGGTGGCGGAAGTCCTCGTTCTCCGCCATGCCGAAGGCGTGCTGCCGGATAAGCACGAAGTCGGGCCGGAAGGACCTGCCGGGGACACAGAGGCAGGTTTGCCATTAAGCAGCACCTCGGGCCACACGGCATCTTGTCTCTTGTTTCCAAAACCCGAGCAGACAAGAGGTCTCTACCAACTAGCCTAAGTCCCATCACTTTATTATGACCATTTTATTATAGCCATTCCTTCCTGGACTGGGAATGCGGTGCAATGACCCTTTCTGAAGGAAAGTCGAGGACCAGAGTTCTGAAACGCTCAGTTCCTCTAGGCTCAGTATTGTCTTTTTCTAAGGTACGAATGCCTCAGGAAGGAAGGAGCACTTGACGTTTAAACCAAAGTGAAAACACTCTTCGGTGTCCTCGTGGGGCAGCGCCCAAGCCTGGAGTTGCTCCTGGCCTCAGAGTTGGAGCTCAGAGCAGGCCTGGACCCGGCTGCCTCCCCACGCTGTGCAGGGCTCCCTGGTCTCCGAGTCCAGTTCCGACTCCTTAAAGCTGCTCCTTAAAATAGGCAATGCCCTCATCAGGCCCCGGGGAGCGCAAGGGGCCAGGCTGGCTGAGAACAGATGCCAGACTTCCCAATGTTATTCTTCCAAAGCGGACGCTAGGGAGGGGCGCAAATATTTTTCGCAGAACTGAGGTTGAGCAACGGCTACAGGAAGCCCTGACAGCACGGAATGTTCCCAGGCATGGGAAAGCTCCCTGCTCTCACCTCCAGCCAGCAAAGCAGCCAGCCCCAGCTGCTCCCCAGGACCAGGGCTCTGTCTCCAGGCCCCAGCATCAGAGGAGCCCCACCTCCCAGAGTGGTTCTGCGGCAGCACCCCGCCCATGGTTCTGAGGCTCGGCACTTCCACGCCACGTGCGATGGCCTCCCTGGCTCTCTGCCTGGGCAGCCATCCAACCCCACCTACGGTCCCAGGTCTGCCCGGGCTCCCAGATCAGTCCTTTGCTGGGGGCAGGGGGTGCACAGCCCTCTTGGGCTGCTCAGGAGCCTTCATCTCAGGTCATCAAGACCTCTGTCGCGGCGGCTCTGGCCATCCTGTGACAGTTCTCGGATGCCGACTCCAGCTGTGTGTCAGAGATCAAACTCTAACCTCGAATCCTGCTTAGGGGAGTCGCGCTCTACACGGGAGGCCGGCCCTTGAGTTCCCACACTGGCCCCTGGGAGGGCTGGCCTTGTTCCTGCCAGATCCCTCCTGGGCCTTGTTACGGGGCCCTTCTCCAACCACCTGCCTGTGTGCGTGCGACCCAGTGACTTGGTGACTTGCTCTGTCCTGCTCTGTCTGCAGGGGAGGAGCCCCTGACTCAGGATGGACCTAAGCCCACTCCCCACCTGGACGAACAGGTCTTCCCTGTCTTCCTCCTCTGTCTCCAGGGTGGATGAGCTCACAGGCGCTATCCTGAGGTCCCAGACATCCCCACCCGGCCCTTCCTGTCACTGACCCAATTCCTGCCGGACACCGGGAGCCTCAGTGGGGACTGCAGATGGAGGTGAAGACTTCTCGGAGCAAACCCCACGTTGTCTGGGTAGAATCACTGTGGACACCATTTCCCTATTGGGGTTCGTGTGACCTCCCTCCCAGATGCTGTCGTGAGGGTGACAACACCCTCTCTAGAAGGTCTAGCCCACCACCTGGCACATAAGAGCTTGATAATTGCTCATGTTCCTCCACCCACGATGTCTCTTCCAACTCCAGGTTTTCCTATCAGACTCGCGAGTTCTCAGGAGTGAGAAATGCAGCGAGAACACAGAGCGAGGCGACAAGAGACCTCGCTCAGCACGCGGGACACTGCTGCCGACTGGCTGAAGTGAGCCTCTAAAGCTGATGTCCTAGAACCGTTTATTTATTTATTTATTTTTAAAAAGAATGATTGCTTTAATTTTATTTAGTATTATTTTTAAATTTGCTATAGGGCACATGTGCTTCCCAGAGACAGACAGAGAGAGAGAGAAAGTGAGAAAGCAAGCTGCCAGGTCCAGGACTCGAACTGTGGTCAACCACGTGGGAGTCTAGCACCTTAACCACCATGCCTCCTGCTGTCCTGAATCTTTTCTTGTTTTTGCAATGGAATCCTGCTCTCCAGGGAAACTGTATGCACAGACAGAAGTGCAGAGCTACACCGGCTGCAGGGGGTGTAGGAATCCTAGAAGGAGTTGTTCCGCCAGGAGCTCCGAGTCCGCAAAGCTAAGGTGCTTTCTCTACCGGTGGACCAAGAGCCCTGTGGCGGTAGGAGCCTCCTTCTCCAGCCCTCAGCTCAACACACATGAAGTTGTGCACACACACGCAGCACTACTCTCCAACAGTGAGCTCCAAACCACCTCTTGGGACCAGCAGTTAGCGTAATGACTATGTCGCTGGACTCCCATGTAGTCGACCGCGGTTCGTGTCCCAGATCCGGTGGCTTAAATCTCACGCCGGGCGCGTGTGCGTGTGTGCGTGTGTTCCCGAGAGGAGAATGGAGGAGATGGGATTGCGGTGTGGCCATCCCCCCTGGGGGGTGAGTTCTTGCTTTCTGTCTCTCTGTCTCTGTCTGTCTGGTGAGTGCATGCGCCCTATAGCAAAACGCCCACCCCCCAAAAAAAAAAAAAAAAAAAAAAAAACCACCTCTTCAGGCCAGAGGTGGTCGCCCTGGAGACCGTGACAGTGACCCTGGGAACAGAAAGGCCCTTGGGGCCACCAGGTGGCATAGCAGTTAAGGCACTGGACCCCATATGATCAACTGCAGTTCAAGTCTCAGACCTGGTGGCTTGAACTCACACCAGGTGCATGTGCGTGCATGCCCAAAATCCTGGAAGAAAATGGAGGACGAGGCACTGTGGCGTGGTTATCCCCCCAGGGAGTGTTTTCTCACTTTCTCTCTCTCGGTATATCCCTGTTTCTCCAGCAAGCACAAGTGCCTTCTAGCAAAATTCTTTCTCTAAAAATATAAAGAAAGAAAGGCCCTTACCGCACGACCTTCGTGCCATTCCGGAGCACCTGCATATCCACGGCGTAAGTCCCATCTGCGTGGGCCACCAGGTTGAGCTCTGAAAATTCGGCCTGGAAGATAACAATGGGGAAGCGGTTCTAGTCCTGACTGTGCCCAGTCCTGGCCACGCTGCAGAGCACAGCAGCCCACGGCCTCGCGTCTGACCCCAGCCCACCGCCACGCTGCAGAGCACAGCAGCCCACCACCATGCGTCCATACCCAGCCCACGGCCTCGCGTCTGACCCCAGTCCACCACCCCACGTCCGACTCCAGCCCACCGCCACACTGCAGAGCACAGCAGCCCACCACCACATGTCTGTCCCCAGCCCACCGCCATGCGTCCGACCCCAGCCCACCACCTCGCATCTGCCCCCACTTGTCAAAGCCTTTCACACACGGAGTTCATCTCATCCTCACAGCGACCCCCAGGCAGGTGGGAGGGATCAACATCTTCACACACCGAGGGAAGAAACCAAGCCCCAGGGCAGCTACGTCACTTTTTCAGACAAACACAACTTGTTGATGGCAGAGAGGACAAAACTCTGGGCACCTGACTCCGGGCCCACACCCTCTGAGCTACTGCTCTGCAGAGCACGAATGTGAGCTGGCAAGCATCCCTCTGTCGGTTTCATTAGACACGCAGGTTTTAGTTTTGGCACCCAGGCTATAGTTCTGCTCTGCCCCTGACTAGCTGCACAGATGTTAAGTACGGGGACCAGCAGGTGATGCAGTGACTGAGGCACTGGACTCCCACATGGTCGACCATGGTTCGAGTCCCGGATCTGGTGGCTTGAAACTCATGCAGAGCACATGTGTAAGCATGCCCAAGATCCCGAAAGGAGAATGGAGAAGAAGGGATTGTGGCATGGCCATCCCCCCTGGGGGGTGATTTCTTGCTTTCTGTCTCTCTGTCTCTGTCTGTCTGTCTGGCGAGCGCATGCGCCCTATAGCAAAAAACCTCTAAAACAAAACAAAACAAACAAACAAAAAAACAAAATCCCAAGAGAATGGGGAAGAAGGGATTGTGGCGTGGCCATCCCCTTAATGGCGGGAGTGGGGGGGATTTCTCACTTCCTGTCTGTCTCTCTGGTGAGCACATGTGCACTATAACAAAAATCTCTCTCTCTCAAAAAAAAAATGAAATAAGTTACTTGTCCACTCTGGGTTCCAGTTTCCCCAGCCTATAAAATGGGAGTGGTTTTTTAACCAACCATGACTATCTAACAAGCTGTTAAGAACGGAATATAGTAATATGTAAGAAAGTACTCTGGAGAGGCCAGCAGGTGGCATGGTGGTTAAGATGCTGGACTCCCCCATGGCCAACTACGGTTTGAGTCCTGGACCTGAAGCCTTGAAAATCACGCCAGACATGTGTGCATGCATGCCCCAAATTCCAAAAGGACAATGAAGGAGAAGGGGTTACAGTGTGGCCATCCCCCCTGGGGGGAGAGTTTCCACTTTCCCTCTCTCTCTGTGTCTCTCTCGGACATGTGCCCTGTGGCAAAACCCTAAAATTAAAAAAAAAAAAATAGTACTCTGCAAATCACAGCACACTGTATAACGAATGCTGAGTAACTTCAATTATTTATACAGAAAATTCATGCATTATTTAAGTTGGACTCTCCCAAATGGACCTAATCATCTATTATGAAACAAGAGACAAAGGAAGGTAAAAATGGGCTTTCAGGACTTTCTTGTATTAAACCAAGTGGGTGTTCTTTCCTGAGTTCCCTCCGGGCAGCCTGGGCCCAGGCAGACACAGTGGAGGCAGCTCTCTGAGTAGCAGGCATGTGCCTACCCAGGCAGACCTTGCCCCCGAAGATATGGAGGCACAGCCAGTGTCTGAGAAAGACCTCCTTCTAAGGTTGTCCTCAGCCTGGGAACCGTGCGTGGCAGAGGTTCCCAAGGGCCACAGCGCTGGCCTGTCGGTGGACGCCAGAACCATGGAAAGAAGTCGGGGAAATGAAGAGATGTGGCCTTAAGGACTGCGCCTCCCAGAGGGAAAAGCAGGAAAGAGCAAGAGGGAGGAGACGGGCAGCCCAGAGCCGCGGCAGACCCGGTCCTGCACTCAGCAGGTCTAGACGGTTCGCTCTGGGAGGCCAAGAGGAGAGGGAGAGGTGCGGGTACAGCGCTGGGCCTGGGGCTGATTACCTGTTCCACCTTGATATCATAATCTCCAAGAACTTTTTTGCCCCGAAAGCACTTGGCCCTGGAGAAAGAAAGAAAGAAAGAAAGAAAGAAAGAAAGAAAGAAAGAAAGAGAAAAAAAAAAAAACATGATTAGTTTTGTACAAGTGTTCAAAGCCAGACCTTTAATATCTCACAGAGGAGAATGGGTGGCGAGCACAGCCCGGCAGGACAGTCAGGAGACCTGGTTCCAACTCTCACGCTACTCTCAGATCCCCATGAGAACTCAGGCAAGCTTCTTCTCTCTTTAAACCTCAGCCTCCCCATCTGTAAAATAACCAAAAGCAGCCTTTCACCCTCAGGCGTTGAGATGCCATCATAGCATCCCTGGTCTCCTGGCCACAGAACAGCAGGTCCAGACGCAGGAATGTCCCTGGTGTCAGCCTTGCTAACGACGTGGTCGATGTCAAGCTGCTCTGCAGTGTTCTCACCCTTTCTGAGTCTGCGTTGCATTGATTTTCTAGTTGGGATCTACCTTGGGAGTTCTAGTTTTTAAACAAGCTGACTGCTATTATCACCATTATATACCCACGTAAAAAGGATCGGAGGCGATTAGTAGTTTAAACATATAGCCAAGGGAACCAGCAGTTAGCGTAATGGCTATGTCGCTGGACTCCCACCTAGTCGACTGTGGTTTGCGTTCTGGACCCGGTGGCTTAAAACTCACGCCGGGCGCGTGTGCGTGCGTGCGTGCCCAAGATCCCGCAACAGGGATCAGCAGGTGGTGTGGCAGTTGGGGCACTAGATTTCCCATGGCTGACTGCAGTTCGAGTCCTGGACCTGGTGGCTTGAAACTCATGCTGGGTATGTACATGTATGCCCCAAATCTAAAGAGAATGGAGGAGAAGGGATTAGCATGGCCATTCTCCCTGGGGGGATGATTTCTTGCTTTCTGTCTCTCTGGCTAGCACATAGAGCCTATAGCAAAAATCTCTAAAAAAATTTTTTTTAATTAAAAAAATAAAAACATAACCAAGAGGGGCCAACAGGTGGCATGGTTGTTGGGGCACTAACTCCCATATGGCATATGGCCAACCACAACTCAAGTCCTAGACCCAGTAGCTTGAAAATCATGCTGGGTACATGTGTGTGCATGCCCAAAAATCCTCAGAAGACTGGAGGAGAAGGGATTGCAGTGTGGCTGTCTCTCATGGGGGTGATTTCTTTTTCTTTATTTTTTTTTTGAGAGGTTTTTGCTATAGGGCGCGTGCGCTCGCCAAACAGACAGAGAGAGAGCCATAGAGACAGAAAACGAGAAATAACCCCCCAGGGGGGATGGTCACGCCGCAATCCCTTCTCCTCCATTCTCCTCTCAGGACCTTGGGCTCGCACACACACGCACCCGGCATGAGTTCTAAGCCACCGGGTCCGGGACACGAACTGCGGTCGACTACGTGGGAGTCCAGCGACATAGCCATTACGCTAACTGCTGGTTCCCTCAGGGGGGTGATTTCTCACTTTCTCTCTCAGTCTCTGTCTCTTTCTCTCCAGTGTGTGCACATACCCTATGGCAAACAAAAACAAAAACAAAAAACCTTAAGAAAGAGCATCTCATTTAATCCTCACAACAATTTATGAGACACAGACAAAGACCTTAGAGGTAAGAAAAGCAAGGTTTGGAGGGACATGGTGTATTCAAGGTCCTACTGCGTGTTAGTGACAGGGCCGGGCTTCACTCTCCACCTGCAGGACTGACCCGTGGCCTTCGCGCAGCAGGGCCCAGTCTCCCTCTGCCGATTCAGAGTTCCCATCTTCTCTCCACTCCTACAAAAATGGGCTCGCCCTGTGTGCCGCATTGTTTCGTTTTTGTTTTTGTTTTCATTTTCCTTCTTCCATCAAAAAAGGGCCTGATGTTGCGAACACCAGTCTCACTGCAGATCCTTCCGACCCTGGTTCCTGGCAGCTCCCTGGGACGAGGCTGGCTATTTCCTTTTCTCTATAGGTTCTGGAACAGCCCGTTCTAGGAAGTTGTCATGTGTCCTCTCCAAGTCCCTGGCCACCCTCGAATGGCTCCTCTGAGGCCCTCAGCTCTCCTGGAGCCGGATTGCTGACCCCCGCCCCCCACCTCTGCCCCAGTTCCCTGTGAGCGTCACATCAGCTGGCTTCCTGCACCCTGCTCGGCCTTTGCAGCTCTGCAGCCCCTTGGGCAGAGGGCTCGTGGCATCTGCTGTCCTGGTCACTCCTCCTCCTCATTCACGGGTTTAGCTAATAGGGTCCAGGCAGGGCACCGTCACGGTCTGCAGTGGGTCTGTGCCATGGCTATAAAAACGAGGAACTGGAGGGAAATGACTCATGAAGTCCCTTTCTTCCGTTGGTGAAGTCTATCTCCCTCGTTATCAGCAATGCTTTTTTGATGCTTCCTCCTATCTTCCTGTCTTAAAATAGCTCCCCTTCTGTGAGCCAAACCTCAGGGACACTAAAGGGACCTCTCGTTCCGTTTGCTGTCTTGCGTTCTCAAAGCACGTTGCAGGCCTTAGCTGCTCCTCACAGCTCTGTGGAGGATCTGGGAGAGGTAGGCGCTGTCCATTTCACTGATGGGGACCGTGGAACCCAGACAGTTAAACAGCACGAACAAATCACAGCAGAGTTCAGGGCCCGTTGGTGGCCTGGTGGTTAAGACAGCTGAATCTCACATGGTTGACTGGGCAGTTTGAATCCCAGACCCGGTGGCTTAAAAAACATGTCAAGAGGGGCAGCAGATGTCATAGTGGTTATGTCACATCGTGGTTACGTCAGCCCATGTGGCTGACAGTGATTTAAGTCCTGGACCAGTGGCTTGAAATTCACATCAGGTGTATGTGCGTGTGTGCCCAAAATCCC